CTAAATACATCTGTGGCGCTGTTGCGACATCCGGTTGTCCGTGGAGGGTCGAGTGTATGCCGCGGCAGTTTGACCAGTTCTGTTATACAACACAGAGGTCTGGCCAATAAGAAGACATATTAAGGATAAACTGTTGCATTGCATGGGTCTGATGGGGCAACTGGCTAAACCATACTGAGCTAAGACGCAGATTTTTAAGTAATCTCGATCGTCCGCTGAAACAGCTGGTCGATCTCCATAGACCACGGTGATTGGAGCATGTGTTGTGCATGTCACCAAATAGGTTGCCACGGCGCGTGATGTTTGCCAAGGCAGGTAAGTAGTGGAGAAAAGCTGAGTGTGGTCTAAATAAGACCTGGAAAGAGAGTACCAAAACCATAACCAGGAAACTCGGTCACATAGATTGCGTTAAGATCCCCTGCAGCGGACCTCGAGATAATCTCAACCGGTGGTTAGAGACAATGAGTGATACGGTTGAGTGCGATAAACAGTGGCGTTGGTGCATCTTCTCCATTTCCTTGCAACACAATTCCTTTGAAATTATCAATTTTTTCTTCGACTCTCCTTTCAATTTCCTTGTCTTTCTCCTATTGTTCTTCCCAATGGGCAGCCAAAAGACAGCAACGAAAACTGACGCCTGAAAGTGCATGGGTAATGGTTGTACAAACTGAACTAAACTGAATCTAGACATTTGGTGTTCAGTTGCTCTATCAAACTCATACAATACTGCGTGGATATTCATGCTGGAAAACTCATCCTCTGCATTTATTCTACTCCCGTAATAGCACAGATAGGACAGCTGTGGTAAAGTGATGATTTTATGAATAATAATAATATAATTATTGAGAGTAATCGACGCCGGTAATTCAGTTTATAGTTAAGTATGAACTGGAACTCACCATGTGGATGTGGTTCGCCGCGGGTCATCAGGGACAAAATTGTCTTGGCATAATCGTACGTCTGACCTTCAGTCGGTGCACCGGAATATTCTCCATAGTTGGCCAGATCAGCCGCGCCGAGTCCGCCTTTCCCGTTGGCGTGTAGTCGCTCGGCTAGTTCACAAACCGTGTCCGCATAGATAACCGAGGCACCGCCTCCAGCACACATTGTCCAAATTCGTCCTTTAGGATTCAGAATGGAGAGTTTCATCGATGCACCGGTGCGAGCATCCAATTCAGAAATGTGTTCCTCCTACGAATACACAAGGATAGGACGATTAGAAGCTGGATAAATCAATCCCGAAAAACCACATCAACCAGTAAAGATTTGGTAGCATTACAATTTTACACGACTTGTGATAGTCTTTTACGAATGGAATTTACTCCAGTGAATAAATATTCCAGGGACCCTAGTATAGGCAATATTGCACTTACAGTATCCAAGATAACATTTTGACAACTGATTGTCGGTTCTAGAAAATTTTCTGATCAGAAATTCCTGAAGGAGTGCTCAATTTCGCATGACAAAGTTCTATTAGGGAAAAACTAACTACTAGCTACCATCATGCATGCCTTGCTCAGTTTAGAAGCATTTAATTCGTAAAGTGCAATCAGGGACTCGTCGCGATAATTTCTCCGAGATTTACTCGTCTCAAGATAATCTACTGAGATGCAAATGTGAGTATCGTGGCGAAATACCACAGCGTGTTATAGGAGTGCATCTAGAGAATGGTAGAACCGTGTTTCATGACGTGCGTATAGCACAGAAGATAGTTAAATAGGGTGATCACATAACGGTAGGAATTTATTGGGCGAGTAAAAGTAGGGTATTTTGAAATGCTACCAATCATGGACACAACTGGTGTATGAACAGAAACCTTCACCCTAACCACGGGGAACGGAATACTAGGAACAGTAGCGAGTCCAGCTCACAGCGAAAATACCGATTTGTGTTTGTAACTTTGCACCCCAAAATAAAATATCGTAAAAATCGCTACTCAAAAACAAGAGTATGAGGCATGGATCACTGAATAATCGCAAGAAGTAAATGAACGTGAAAAACTAGAAAAGTGGACAAAAATGAAGTCACTTGTCACGAAGCAAGATATCAGCGAAAGAAGTTTTTGTCAGGAAAACAGAATTTTCCACAAGATCAGGCGAAAAATTCCGGTAGGAGTAAATGATCCTTTACTATCTTCGACACCGACTATTCATTTCGTGAATAAATAATCATTGAGCCCTCTGTTTTCTATCTTCACCATCCGTCCACATGCATGTGCTCACCCACACACACACAACGCTACAGAATGAATAATCTGCCCCGATTATCGTGTATGTGTGCTCATCGAATTCACTAGGTTGGCAACAACTGTATCCAAAACGCGCATTGAATCACTCCTACCTCCGGTGTTTTTGTTCGACCGAAAGGGTTAGGAAATTCCACCGGGACACCGTCCGGTGCCCAACCAGCATTATTTGTAAACAGATATTCCGCACACTGATCCAATTTGGCCGCCACGTCCAGGATGTGCACATGTAATTGGTTTGAAGCTATCCCACTACCGGTCCACGGGCATACAACCAGCGGATTGATTTCCAGATAGGTGAAATGCAACTCGTCAAACACTCGATGCAGTTCGGCAATAAAATTAGCCAAAATTCTATGCGACGGGAGGGGGAAGAGGAACGAGGAAAAAATTGCAATGATGAAACAGTGCTAGATGATAAATCGGCGGTTACCGAAACACTATTTGAAATCGCGTTCGAAACGCACTTAATCCACTCATTTACACACACAAATACGGACTCAAAAAGTTCATCGTTACAAATGAGCCAGATGTAACACTTAGTACAACTACAGGGTAGCACAAGAAGAATAACACTGACTTTGCGATGCAAACAGATCTGTCTAATTCGAAAAACGATTTAAAAATGTGGTACCTTAAAGAGGAAAGGTAACTAATTGACAATCGTTCACCGTGAATAATGTCGTCGATTTTTTTCGTCCATTTTGTAAAACTAATTGCAGTACAGTGATAACACTAGTGCACCGGTTCCACAGAAGGCTTGGTGTAGCCCAAACTATTATTATTCGGTACTTTTTTGCGCACACAGTCGGTTTTGTTTGTGTCGTTTAGCGTCCCACCGTCTACCGAGCTTGAAAAGTCAATCACATTCACTGAAAGCTCCCCAAGTCACTGGTTATTTGTATATACAAATTATCAAATTCTTCGAACTCATATTTTGTTTCAGTCTGCAGAGTAGTTATATGGTCGTAGGATGAAGCTATCATACATACACACACACGCACAGAGAGAGAGAGGAAATTTGACAGCACCTGCAAGAGCGATGATAAAGGAATCTTCCGGTCACGGTGCTAGCCGAGTTGCGGGGACTTAATCCGATTCAAGGCCATTGTGGGAATTAAAAAAAACCCTTCCTTGTCCCTCAAATCAGTCTATCGTCAATTCTGTACTTCGCGGAGAGGGGTTATAGAACGACGCAGTCGTGGAGCAGAGCTTTTCATTCGGAACCGCGATTAAAGCCGTATACAGGCATACAATTGGTTGATGATTCCGGCTTCCGCTCTCTCTATCTCTCTCTCTGGACACGTTTGTATATAGACGTATCAGCAATATTTGAGCAATACAAAAGGAACGACCGAATTGGCCCTCCCAGGTTAGTTGGTGAAGTGGAGACAGAGAGAAAATAAACATACACATTTTTCGGTGCAACAGTTAGTCAAGAAACGTTATTATCCCGGTCACATCTCAGCATTTTACGGGAAAACAAAAGTTCGCGTAAGGTAAGCTGGTAGTGGCCGCTACTCCACAAGCGATGAAGATGTCATGAAACGNTAAACAAATTGCCAAGCCCGATGGACAAACGAAGACGAATCCCGTCCACCGCAGCTACATCGACATATGATCGATCCGTATCAAGTGAATGCACTGTTGATTGTGAATAAGCGAACCGTCTGCTTCACAGATCGTTTCGGACAGAACTGCATGCTACTTGGTACCTTTCAGGGTCACAGACAACGAGCAGAAGGACCATCAAACTTGTTCCCAGTCGTGAATGAGATGGGTTCAGATTCACAGAAAAACGGCTACTAACAACCAAGAATTGTACTCGAGAGCATGATGAGATTTTGCTTGGTTATTGTCGTCGTTTTACAAAACCCCGCAAAGGTCTGGCAACGACATCGTGAACTGTTGGATATAATCCACCGTTAAGAAGACCATCGATCCTTATTCCGTTCAATCTGATCGACGAAGCTTTCCAGAGGAGGCAAGTGAACTAGACTGCTAGTCATCGGCTTTTCTAGCACAGTACAAACGTAGGGACTAGGTATGCAACCGTATGACCAGTTAAATAAAAAAAAACTGCAAAAGGAGCCAGATAGTCAACTTATTTATGCATCACAAAATGACATGCAATAACTTGAATAACAGCTTACTGTTATTCAATTTCCGTGTGTGGTTTAAAAGTCAAACAATTTGCGGATGAGTGAAGTGTTTAAAAAGATGACGTTTAGGTGAATCCGCCAGCAGAAAAAAAACTCGATCAGAAAACTTGGTATCTTCATCTTAAGTAACCGGTAAAGTCTGTAGGGACCACGCCAAGTTCGAGCCGCTTTATTAGCATCACAAACAGCATCTTGCTCACGTATTCGCGATGCGCCACCACCGCAACAAGTGCTCGTCGAGACGTATGAACTCCATTTCGGTCTGCTCCTCCACCTACTCTGACGGGGAAAGTTTCAAAGATTATTCGCCCTCCCGAAATTTGATGCACTCAGGG